GTCTTTATTAGCTGCTGCTGACTTATGGCACCCTGGTACCCGTCAGCGACCTTCAGGACACGACAACACTTACACACCCTTCACACGTAAACGAACGAACACACAGAAGATTATTTTATTATTAAACGAATTTTATATATTACGATCGTAACAAATGAATCCATTCGATCCATTAAGATACGTTTACTCAAGTTTCTAAAGCTCCACAATAACTCTCTGCCGTGACAGGTCACACACGGACAGACGCCTGAACTAAATAGTTGTATCAATAGTACCGGGCGTTGTAACTGAAATACCAGGGTGTCATGAGCGTGGAGGAGTTAATTCAATAATTAGTGAGATCAAAGGTAGATTCCTGACAGCATCGCTATGGTAATTGTTGGCCGCCATTTGCCATTTAGAATTATACGATGTAAACAACACAGAAAAAAACTAATAAGAAATAATATAAAAATACACTTAACTATAATAACTCAACAGATTCTTTTTTTATTATTACTGAAATCTTAAAGGGACATAAAAAGGTAAACATTGTTTAAAATTTAGTGATATTTATAAGAAGATTTGCGATCAAAGTATAAAGCTGAGAGCCGCTTATCAGATGATAACAGATAACAAGTGTGTTACTCGCGATAAATGTTATTCTAACATCCACACATGACAACGGAATAGTCATACTTAAAAACTTGCTTAGAAAATCTAAGCTAAAAAAATACACTTAAATATTAAACTCAAACAAATACTAACGATTCCACGTGACTATGTCTCACCATAAAACGGTTTGCATAAATGTTTTATCACCATCATAGCTACCGACCCGACCCGGGCCCACAATAAAAGAATCCCTCAAACAAGCCACATTTGACATGTTCTCATGAGCAGCGCTAAGAGGTTATCAGCTCCCGTACAGTCAGGTATTATATGTTTATCTTTATGACACCGTGGAGCTAATCTGGCCGATAGTGCTGTGTGTCTTGTACCACTGGAGTTGGGACATCAAATAAACATTGACTGTGCTATCATTTAAACACCGAACTATTTAGTAGACTACCACGTTATACTCTATTTTCGTTATGATAGTTTTAAAACTGTCTTCCAGCTAACCGTAAATCCGTCAGCTAGTAACGAGGTCCCGAATGACCGAATTCTTATTTGATGTTAAACACAATTCCAGTTTACTAAAACTTTCTACGAATCTATAAACATCAACAATAATTCCTTGAATCACGGCGCTTTCTACTTTATAGTATTCATGTACAAAAATAAATTGTTATGCCATTATCTGAAGACGCAAACATTTCTAACAATGCGCCCGCGCAGGAAACATTCTCTATTTATTATTAGAGCGATATCAAAGAACCGTCCGCTCTTCCTCGAACCCGGCTTCATGACACGTGAGGGACGCAACCCTAGAAGAATATAGGAGGTATTACTACACTAAAATATAATATTACTACTTCTAGAATAAATCAAAGAATACAACTCAATTACAGGCAGAAGTTCATGAACAGTCGTAGTCTTGAAACAGGAGACAGCCCTACGGAATATTTTTACTCTCAAACTTACATTACACGCGGAGATTTAAAACTAATTTACAATAAATAATGACAAACAACGTCGGACGGAAAATTAAATGAGTAATTTTAAATGATATATTAGTCGTAAAAACAAAATGAAGTTCATGCATTTCGTGCAAAACTGACTTGTATTGTGTTAAGTCGGTTCCACATAAAATTATATAATGAACTAATCGAGACCAGCCCGGGACGGACAATGGCGGCCTTAATTGAGCCCTTTGTGTCAAAGAATAGAAAATTTCATATTAAAACGAAACACGGAACGGCTGTGTTTGGTTGTGCGGCCGCTGAGTTAACGTGAATGACGCGGCTTCACTCCAAAATCATTATTAGTGACAGCATATACATTTATATGTATACTAGTTTTTGCCCGCGACTTCGTCCGCGTTAGTTTCGTCATTAGTAATATATGTATAGCTGACCAGGCGATCTCTATTCCGTCTTAGAGGCCATAAATAATCAGGTTTTTCCTGTTTAAATCAAACAGAATGATTGACATATTAGTTAGTTGTCAAATCTAATGTCAAAAAAAGCGTTTGTATGGGAAATAGAAAAGGGGTGTTTTTAGGGTTTTCAAGGCAATTATTCCAATTTTTCTCACCTTTCATACCTTCCCTGAACCTCCACGAACATTTCAAGACTAAGATAAGACAAATCCGTTCAGCTGTTCTCGAGTTTTAGCGAGACTAAGGAACAGCAATCCATTTTTATATATATAGAAGATATCAAAGTTCCATTTCAGTATTGGTTCATTATTTCCCAGTAACGCTGTAATCGGCCTGGCGCCTTTGATATACATTCGGTTACAGCGCTGCCTGGAACAGCTTGTTTGTTTGTCGGACTGTAAAACTGTTAGACTGTAAACTATCGTGTGTGGTCGCGTGGTCAGTCCTTACGACGAATTCCGAGCAGATGTACGGAGATCAAAAGACTGAGGACGATAAAAAAACTTAATGCGCTTTACAACTAACAACTCTGTAATACAAACTACGCTACAGAGACGACCTGTGCTCTTTATTTTTCTTGGGAAACATATTCTTTTCTTACAACGTAAGGGTTGGGAAATAACAATCCCATTTTCCAGGTATTTTCCGTGCTTCATATTGGAAGGATTTGTTGAGCTCCGCTATGTGAAATCATTAGTTTTCGAATCCCTTATATCTGTTTGACGTTCCGGTATAAATAAATATAACATTTATTCATTTTTCTTCTAAAAAAGTCGTGAATTTCGTTTGTTTTTGAACTATTAAATAATAATTTACTTCCCTTTAAAATGAACGCTTACTTTTGAGCAATGCTTAATAACATTTACAATTTTAACTCTCTAATGCGCTATTATCAAATGTAAAGCGCAACGCCGGGTCTCCGAGCGTTATTAACCGGGATTACCGGATCCCGGCCGAATCCCCGGATACAGGGATTTGCTCCGGGATCCCCGACCAGTGGAAATGATAAAAGATATGCCCCTGGATACACTCGGCTCACTAGGAAATTACAATATACGTAGGAATCGGTTGCATATTAACATTTTTTAGTTATATATTTCTATGTGAGACACTTCACCTAATATTATGGTTCATTCATATATATGAAAAACAATGAAGAATATATTATGATGATGATGATGATGATGTAAACAAATGGAGTGAAGAACAGAACAGTATGGCTGGCCGCGTCCTGGTACCAGGCGTCCATAAACTAGTCGGAGCACGATATCTGAATACAAGCGATCGCACTTAGCCGTCACTTACGTATCACGGCCGGTATCACCCGTGCTTGCATTAGCGATGTCGCCCGCTCGATAAATTATCGCTCACCTCCGGCCAGCACAGCCGGACCCGCCGGAGAGGAATCGCTCTGATAATACACTTAATGGAGCCTGCTTTAAACGAACTCTATGTATATAAATAATAAGTATAATGTCATTAAAACACCGTATACATAACGTAGTATCACTATGACAAGCCGTTCGTAAAGTATCATTCACCAATTTCAGTGTAACCGTTACATTCCACCTGAAGTTGTACCGTTCGAATTGTCAAAGTCAGTTCTCGGGTCACGCGGTATAAATAACTCTTCAGTCCCATGTAAAATTTCGACCGTATCTCATATATCTTAAGGTCGATTATCGCTCGCCGGTTATAGATCGCTGTTATTGTATATAAGCCTCTTATTAAGAGCGACTCCCACTCGCAGAACACGCAACTGTATAACGCTCGGCCTACATGACGGCTACATACGACGCATTAATAATAACTTCATATCCATAAAATATCATTTAAATATAGGCTAACGTAAATATTGCGATTTTATTAAGAGTTTGTACATAGATTGATATCTACTACTATCTATAGATGGCAATCTTTTGATATTATTATGAAAAAATTTATGTTCCAATAAATATTATATATAAAATAAATGATCATGTATAAGTGTTGAAATAATAATAAAATATAATTTAATTAATTGGTCCGTCATGTAAGCCGGGTCGTTCAAGTAAGTGGAATCATACGTACATTTCCAAGTATGGCTGCGTCAGAGGCCCGGTGACACGCCGCGCCACGCTAACCGAGGTTCAACTGTAAACCGGGGTTTAGTTACCGGGACGTGGGTTCGGTTCTGATCTTGATCTGTTACGTTTACATACGACATGTTCATCTTATCGAATTATATTACATTTTTTTTTGTATATATTTTTTTATATTTGTTTCCGTGCTATTTCCTCTATCAATGAATGATTTTGTGTCAATGTATGTCTGTCTGTAATGTGTATGTTCTCATAACAGTATTAATAGGGAGTAACGTATTAACTACTGGACTGTGTGACCGGGCCTCAACGGCCAGTCGGAATGTAAATAGAATTAAAGCCAACAACCGCTCGAGCGAGACGCTTTGAAATACTTCTTTTAATTATTTATTTAGCATCACACCAGCCCGCGACTCCTCTCGCCATGCCGTGTTAGTAACGAGAGCCGTCTTCATGGCGTATTAACTGGAACTGTTAAACAGTCGTCATATAGTTGTTAATATTTGATGAATCATTAAATTACACGGTCCGCGGTGCCGGGCCGCTGTGGTGGTGTAAATTAATATTTGTTGAAGCGCACCGTCTCCCACTGATCGGCGTGTTTACTCTGTGCAATAATAATAGTGTATTATGAAAAATAACAGTTCGAGATCGGTTCATGGGCTCCGTGAGGAGTGACTGGCTCGTCACATGTCACCGTGTCAAGTGGCTGTCACCTGTCAGCTGATATGATAAGAGACATCACGGAATTTATATAGTGATAACTCTATTTTAGATACGGAGGATAACTTAGAATTAACCTCTCCATATACCATTTTATTTCCATACAATTATCTATCCTGATGCGTTCGGAAGTGTATCATATGTATTAACGTGTTTTTTTTTGTTTGTTTCAGATGCCATGGGTAAGTCGGGCTACCGAACAGGAAGCCCCATAAATCACGGTGAGCCTGTAAAAAGAGCATGTTAACAAAAATTTCCAATCTTCATAAAACACGAAAAATAATTACGTCAGACATATTTTTTTTTAAGTCGGAATAAGTTAATCGGGCAACACTAGGAGTCGGCGGGATTCGCGTCGCGCCATAAACTTTGATTAGGTCATTAAAGCATGTTAATTTATTAGCGTTCGAACAACTTTCATTTGTAATAAACACACAAAAATCGCTCATAAAAGTTTTACGTTACCGTCCGTTACCGGCGGCGGTGGAGGCGGGCTTTTACGACATTTTGAAGCGATCATTGTGCGGCCGATCGAAAAACACCTCTGAGGCCATTACACGCACGGCCCATTGTCCCACGCGGCCGCGGTTATTATTAAAAACATCCCATTTTATTTTCTATTACTTATTTATTTGAAATGTATATTCCGTAGTTCGCGAAACATCGACGCCGGGAGTGGCCGTTGCATGCAAATTAAACATTATTTCGTTATATCCCAGCAAAAATGCCAGTTTCCCGCCTGTATTTGTATTCATACGGTCTGTCAGAGTGACGTATTCATTCCAATTTCGAAAAATCAACGTTCGGATGCATTTCAATTTTGAGTATTTTTATTTTTCGTCAGTTCGGAAACGGGATATTCATACGGCGCGAAATCCCGTCGCATAAATAAATTAAATCAAACAATATCAATCGGACGCGTACAAACTCGCGTCATTCCGTATTGCTGTTTATCATAAAATATGGCGTTCATATTAAATATGTCGCTCTCTGTCTCGCGGCCTCGTGGCGGGAATGATTGGACATTACATTTTTTACTTATTGCTTCGTCTCGTGTGCTCGTAGGTGCGTCGGTCTGTTCGTGTATATCCTTACAATATTAATTACTGTTATAATGAGCTTTGTTTCTCTCAACTTGATTACAATCTGCATACTTACGGCGCTCGGGCCCGCTCCACGAACAATGGATGTATTAAGCCACATTACGAGTTAAGGATCGTAACAGATTTTATAGTCGGCAGACATTCGATGGATGAAATTTTACACAAATTATGTTAAAATAAAATTATATTACTCTTCGGAATGTATATATTGTTTCAACTTATCAATGCTGGGAGATTTTTATGTTTAAAACTGTTTCTTTTTCCTATAGCTAAATAACTGACATATAATTAATTTTATGTATTAATTTAAAAGAAAATATCAGTGCCAACTAAATTGAAATATTTTTATGTTACTTCTAACATCGCTTCTTGATTAGTTCACAGAGTAAAAAATGAATATTACATTGGCATAATGATAAATATGCTTTTTAAATTTTGCATAAATTCTAATGTCAAATTAAAAAAAACTAAAAACGACTATGTATATTAATGAGTGTAGTTTACAAATGACGTTACATGCTTCATAAATTGAACGTTCAGTTGACAGCGATTTGTGTAATTGTTTCACTTGTAAGAGATGCCATGATAACGTCATGCGCCTGACGAGACTGTCCGACACTCCTCACAATTAGCACGAGAGTCCTGACTCTTATATAAAGACCACGTAGAGCCAGCATCTATGATCCCAGCGTACAAACACGAGCAGCTACTCAAGACGTGTCCCATACAGGCGCGCATTCATTTTATTGTTTATGTTAACAGCTCGTAGGAGTCACGAAAAACCGCTAAACACAACGTCGACACGTTCTTAACGGCTGTATCGAACAGAGATTCGAATTTCGAACGCGACATCCAAGATGGCGACCTTCGTGAGTCGTATATCAATAGTGATTTACGCGCCACGGTCGAGGTCGACGGCCGGCCGAATTTCGTCCAGAGATGCACTCGCCGAGTAATTTATTTGTGACCATCTATTATTTTGTAGACTCACGAGGTCCTAAACGCAGCTGACATTAATATATCATTTTACGCGACGGCCGGCCTACCTCGCGTCCGTCCCGCTCGCACCTCCCTCCGCTCCTATAAGTCAGAGAGGGACGGAGCCACGGGGCCGAATGGTTGGCGTTTTCACTTTTTATAGTAGCAATATATTTGATCAGCTGATCGCCATGACGTTTACTGCGCGTGTGGCTATGTGTAATGTTTTTAATAATTTATATTATAGTTTTGTGTTTTTATTCGAGTTGTCTAGGTCGCGGTTATTTATAATGTCGTATTTATCTAATGGCAGCACCGTCTACCGCGCGGCCGGTGTTGACATATAAATTTGGCGTTATTGACATCGCTTTTTGGGCATTGCGTTATTAATGCTTTATTGCGTGGATAAATTAAAATTAATGGCAGTGTATTGTAAATAATTGTTAGATCGGCTCTATCGGTAGATACCTACATATGTATACATGTTCGGTACATATATTACGATTCACTTACTAAGCGTTTCGCGCCTTACTTTGGGTGAGAACTGTGTATTACTGTGTTAATTTTTTTATAATTTTGTTTTTGTTACAAGTAGTACTTCATGTTGTAGTGTTGTGTATGCGTCAGACGGGTGCACGTGGTCGCTGTAAATATTTTTGGAGGCAATCGATTTCCCAAATCCATTCTGTACCCTCGCGCGACGATGATGTAGCAAGGATAAGACAATACATACATATGTGACAACAGATATTTACATTGGAATCAAAAAATATATGATGTACATATATAATTCTAATTATCTTAATTTCCATATCATATCATAAAATAACCAAATAAAACAGCCACCAAATAAATGATTGTTAAATATTTATTGACATTAGTATCTATCTATCTATGTTTCTCGTTTTTTATCTAAGAATTACATTAAAACAAGATAACCGCACATCGTCTTATCCACAATAATCTCCCAGCATTAGCGCGTATCGCACGGGCCTAGCATCATTAATCTACGTGACAGTTCAAAATTTAGTTACAGAGGGTCTCCCCCCTCCCCCCTCCCCCCGGCCCGGCCCCCGCAGGCCCCGAACCCGCGGCACCCCCATCATGTGGCAAGTTTTTAGGCACTCCTAAATGAGGCTCCGTTTGAAAAGACGTAAACCCAATATCTGAAATTTGATATGAAGTTATTTTTATGTATTGCTACGTCCAATTATTGGTTGGGTCTTCAAAGCTTGGGTCTAGTAAGTCCTTTTATCCAAGCCTGTTCATCAGTCTGAAGAGTTACCAGTAGATTCCTTCCAAGGAGCGGAGGTGGGGTGAGATGACGTGAGGCTCCCCGCCGCGCTGCCATCAACAGATGTTGTTATTAATTAAGTCTCATATACCTGATGAAACGATCTGCCTCATCAGATACAATGCCGCGCTAATACTGGCTCTGTTCTGGTTTACATTAGACACTCCGACTCCTCAATAAACTCGCGTTAGAACACAAACACTGTTACACAAGCAGTGGTAATTAGATTACGTTACACGAGCCCGCTAATTGTGGATGTCCATGTTTTAATTTTCTGAAGTCACGCTATTAACTAGGTGTATGTATTTTTTATTCGGCTCCGTGTCAATGACCCTGGAGCTGGTCCTCGATAGATACATATGTACAGCCGACCCCGTGTCATGGAAGCTTGTAATTTTTCTCGGAGTCGGCATGAATAATCACATTTTTCTATACTTTCCGCATTTATTCGAAGGCTCGAGTGACGGTGAGAACGCCCTATATATAGAACAGCCCGTCGGATATCGAACCTTGGATTTATGAGCGTAAAGTATATATTTAAGTGGAGGTGGGTGCTCGTCAATTTCGTTTAAACGGTACCGTTTGCGAGTGTGCATGCGTCCGTCGCCGCTCCTCGTGACTGGCACAATTCTGCTCTGAACTTGCGATATTTTTACTTTTTTTATGACGTCCCGTAATCCGAGGGTCTGTTATTTAGTAATGTATTTGCGCGAACTGTTTCATGTCAACTGTTTTTTGTTATCTTTATCGAGCCCCTGGATGAATCGGGACTTTGTTTCATAATTATCCGTCACTGACTCGAGGTTTCTTCGTGTTCTGTACTAGCTAGCGTAATGTAACGTCGATGGTCCCGTGTCTTAAATGTGTATTTTATGATCCGGGAGTCACTTGTCCCGGGTGTGTGCCCGTGTCGGTTCACTCGCCATCAAATCGTCGTTACTAAAACACACCCTCCTTGTTTTCTAACGTTTTATATTCATTTGGAGAAGTGCTCTTCATGGTCTTCAGCATGTGACGTGCTTCGACATCTGCGTGCCTCTATACAGGGTGTTTAAATTGTATTCATTGGGTGAACTATGTTAGAACTTTTAGACCCATCGCTGTTTCATATTAATATTTCATAATATTGATACCATATTCTTGTTTATATTTATAAACTTTATATTTATTGGTACATGAACATTAATATGGTGCGCCGTATGCCCCTCTGACCTTCCCTGGTTGCATATAACACGTAGTGACGTGCCGTGCTCCATTTTATCGATGATCGATGGCGGGCTGTCAAACTGACAGTGTCAAGGTCGAGTTTGACACCTGTCAAACCGCCCAGACAGCGGTTGTCAAACTGGGCTGCGCTGAAAAACGCGGTGCTGTCATGGAGTAATGGATAGCCTTCCGTTGGCTGTGTCATGACGCCATGTTTGTTTCGGGGCCAACGAACCTCGTCGGTCGATATTTTTTATTTGTAATCATGTGCTATATTTTTTCTACGAGCCCCATTGAAGTGTTTTTGTCTATACTTAAGTTAGATTAACGTTAAGTGCTTCGTTAATTAAACATTTTTTACAGCTGTATGTATAATTTATGAATATATATATTTTTTTGGTAGTTTCTTTCTTACGTTGACAGAACGTTGACCCGATGTGGCCGCGCCACTCACATACAAAGATGACATGTTATTAATGAATTCTAGATAACAATTTCCATTTACATTATTTTAAAGTTGTCTAGAACTGACACGTTTTTACAATTTAAATCGTCATCGGTCACCATTAAAAAAACATTCCTAGTATATTCGCTGTGTCAAATCTATCGATAATTTTAAGCGCAGTCACCCACAAGCCGTCAAACACTAATAATCCATCCGCCTCACCTTGGCTCGAGATATTTTCGGCCTCAACCTAAACAAGGAACGAATATGGCTAAGCGATTTTGACAACGTCTAAAAACAAACACGAGCTGACTGGTATAGGTATGTTATTGATCAGGCGCCTGTACCTACAGATGATGTACCTAGGCTACATCCCCCAGGCCAGCCATCGACCCTGCCCGCCTGCAAGCCAATCCCTGCCCTATCCCCTCAAGACACGAGCTCTTTTCCTTTCCCCGCTCCATCTTTCTTATGACGGTTCCGTGTCTGCTGAATGCTATTCGTTTTCGATAAGACAGTAAAAGACGAGTCCGGAGTATGCGATAATGAGCCTTCTCGATCCCGCCGTAAGGTGGTGATGGGCGGGCTGTCCGCCCTACCTTGGGCGGGAGCAATTAGCCAACTTACTTTACGAATGTTTTTAAAAATGCATTTTTTTATTACCCACCGTTTTCACGGTCGGCTGGAGCTAAAGGAACTATTGTTATTTTAATATCTGTTGTTCTACCGCTGTTCTGTTACGGCGATAACGTTCATTTTGAATGACTAATTAAATTTCTCTTAATGTTAATGTTAAATCTTCACATTATTGTTCCGTTGTTACATCCGCCGAGACTTTGAGAACCGCTCGTACATATTGTAGAACACTGGTTTGTCTTAAACTATTAGTGTTTGATGGAATTTTATTTTTTATATAACTATACAAATTATACTCTCGTTTTTGACTTACATATTATAAGAAATAGAACTTGCTGTGACTCTGTCTAAAATAAAACAATCTTAATTCCTTATTATCCAACAGTAAATATTCAAAAAACCAACATTATTACATCAAAGCACAGACTCGGATGACCCCCGAAAATATCATTGACAGTATTTTTACATAAATTTAATTTCCTCACTGCCGGTTGAGAGCTACGAGCGGACTATTAAGGAAATTGCTTTATAGACCCGAGGATATTGGAAACTTATGGAAGGTTCAGGGCGAGAGACTGAGCTTCGACACACCAAGTTACATTTAAAATACATCTTACATTCATTTAATTCATCATCAGCCTATCAGAGCCCACTGCTGAGCTGCCTCTTCTCACATGGAGAAGGTTTGAGCATTAATCACCACGCTTGCTCAAGACGGGTTGGTGATTGGTCATTTAATTATCATAGTATAATAATAAAAATGCACCAAAAAATGAATACGAATAAACGAAACGTAAAATTCTGTAAGGTTTTTTGTAACGTTTAAATAATAATAAAGTGTAAGAAGCTTTGGGACAGACGGAGCTCGCGAGTGGAGCATAAAACACGGGGCTGTCCTGACACAAAAACGAATGATTTATAGTGAGAAACGACACCTTTATTTTCGGTTATATGCACAGGTAACACCGGGAAAGGGAAATATTTTACATGATTTTATATAAATTACATAAAAAATATACATTTTAGTACATACTAAAGGGTTAAAATCACCCGGAGCAAGAATTAAAAACTTTGGAACCCAAAAACAGCAATTAATGGTGATTATAAGATGAATATAATTGTCGGTTCCTACAAATTACTAACCAAAATTCTGATACCCAACCTGTCAGTACAAGATCTCAAAGCGATTTCCATCAAAGGCGAGATTCAGGGAACAATATACAGACACACATCACAGAACTATTGTATGTATATACTTTTATCTCGACTCTAATTATTGGTTTGTATCCGTGTTGTAAAATATTCCGACGCATTTGATTATAAAACAAATTGTGGTGATTAAAGATGCTCAGATATAAACTTAATTTATTCTATTTACATTTAATTTATACTATTGCTTATAATTATCACGGAGTTTATCATAATAATTAAATAATATTAATTTATTTAAAGTCAGTTTTGGTTGGTGAGGTTGATTTTCGTTGTTCGTAGGTAATACGTGAATATAAAGTGACTTGGGCCATATTTAGACAATTCCGTCTTTAAGCGCGGGTGTCGCCCTCGTATAAACAAGCTAGCGCCGCCGCCCGGCTCTCCCCATTCTTATATCAGCGGGTTATTATAATTTTTCGCCTTATGAATATCGTCGCGTGGTACCGTAACGCCCGCTCCACAGAGGGAGTCACAGCTCAGCAATCTTCCTTTAATTCTTATTTAGAGTGCCGGCTTGTTTTTTAGTATTTGTTTATGGCGTTAACTTATTTTTTGTTCGCTGTGGGGTAATTTTCGTGTTTTTTCTACGGCGTTATTCAACATTATCGCGTCGTCTCAGCGAGGGCGCAAATTGGCTATCAGAGTCTTATAAAATTGTACGGAGTCGCTATCGCTTGGAGGACAAAGGCTCCGCACAGGTCAAGGGCTTTTATTTTCATGAAACGGAATGTTCATTTGGAGCTCCGCCGTCATCGGCTCCACATCAATCATGCATGCACCATTGCCCCGCGCTTTTGTTCGTATTACCGTTTTTGAAAAAAGGTACCTACACGCGCCGCGGAAATTATGGAGCTTGTGTTCTTTTACAAATTCAGTATATCACACTCGCCCCCCCGCCGCGCCGCCGCTAAAATAATGCGCTACTGCAATGCTATTATTCAATTAAATAATTAAAATGAACATCGAATGTTTGATAATCGTGTACGTTCTGTTTTAGGGCACGGCTCGCGCGTTACCTTCCCGTTTCCATTACGAGGCGAATAATATACTTATGCAGTGTGACACCGTTAAAAAAGTAGGAAAATTGCTAATGGTGTATGATATTGCCTCCCCTTATTTTTAGGGTATGAACAGCCTGGGGTGGCAACACCTTCGCCGGCTCCCAGGAGGTGTTTTTTGAGTCGAGTATTTTCTCGTTTTTTTCTTGATGTTTTTTTTTTCTCGTAATGACGTCGAGGTCCTCGGAGACTTGGACGAATCCATTAGTTGGGCGGGAAGAGCTTCATGTAACAGTTTTTTTTCTTTTGCAATCGAATTCGGCTGAAAAAAAGACGTCGCATGTGTCATTGGGAGAACATTAGCAGGAATTGTAATGGCTTACACTCGGCTGTAGGCGGGAAAGCGACGGGGAAGTTATACATTACAATCTCCCCGAACAGATACACATAAACAATATAGATTATAATATAATTATAATATAAGATCTTTTTACAGGCACATCATTATTTTTTTTTTCAAATGAAATAACTACATATAACTCGCATAGACTCGTTCCCAGCTTAAATTAAAATGTTTTTTTCTTTAAATTTAAAAATCGAATTGTATTTCAAATGAGCTCGAAAGAGTTCTTATTTAAAATACCTATCTTATAATATAAAACCTCTTTTGTAAATTAAGAATAATATTAAATGAATAACATTAACAGGCAAGTGGTGCGGGTCGCGGCGGGAGTGGTCTTCGCCCCCGGACGTCGCGCGACGCGTCTACTCCTCCGTGTTCCTCGGCAGCCCCGGAGAATACCCAGGTCAGTGAAATAAATAATATATTAAAATACTTTACAATATACCACATCGGCTGTATACGTTTGGACTGTTGCTTTTTCATTAAAAAGCCGCCATCTTGACATTTGACGTATATTATTATTATAAATAAGTGAATGGGTTACATATAGTAATTTGTCTCGTACGAACCGACCGTGCTTCGGTGATTCAAACAAATATTTATATAGCGACTATCTCCGATACCTCCGACGACAGATAAATCGATCCAATAATGAAGTGTCGAAAAGTCGAGACAAATTTCATACTTTTACACGCGGGAAGCTATTTACGTCAACAAATAAACTTTTTTTTCTTCTTGTCAACCACAAAACGGAACGGAAAGGGGAGACGAGACGTTTTGTAGATAAAATCCATACTGTTAAATTTTATTTAATATACACAACAATGATATTAGAAGAGGTAATAACTAATAAAATCGAAGAAAGAGGTTAACAGTAAGAGGTTTTATTATTCAGCCAATATGTATGTATAGTCTGTTGCTTCAGTCACCAGCCGGTTATGAAGATATCATAACCGCAGCGCGTCCTATAGAAAAAAATTAGAAAACCCGAGCGAAACAATCCGGACATCATTCTTTGGCTTGTCAAGTAATAAACGACATCGATATGGCAGCGCCATCTATTGACTCATTCATAATAATAACCGCGCTCGGCCGCCCGCGACCTGAACACGACTTTATGCTGTGATAGTAGAGATGCAATTAGGATAACGGCGGCCTGCACTTGCACCGTTACGTGTCCGCACGTGACCGCTATCTCCGTCCCGCTCCTACAGGTATATTCCGACTATATCTGTCTCGCGAGTATTATAATACATCAGGTCCACTGCGCGGTTCCATTACACTAAATCAATTAACGGACGATGTTCGGCGGATTTTCGTTAGTCGTCCGCGTACGTAAAACCTACAGAACTCCGCTATCTCCGAATACATAAGGGAGATCAGATAAAAAAATAATAGAGTACCAAAATCAGAAATGGAATCGGAAGGAGCGGAGTCGATTTATTCCGATGTTCGTTACGATTCCGATTTTTATCTAACGTCTAGAGTGAACGAAGCCGAAGACGGATCACAGCGGTCGCTACCAAGGAGAACACAAAAACTGCGGCAGAGCGGGACACTGCGCGGGAATCGATGCCGTCCACGAGGAAGGACCGCCGGCCGACAGGGACGGGCATATACGGGGTTTATTACGTGCGACAGAGATAAAACAATTCCTTACGGCGCTATTCTTAAGCCGCGCTCGCGAGCCGAAAACGTCTCTACCAGCTGACATTAAGGCTGCAATTTGATTGTATTTACTGCGCCGTGACGACTGTTGAATGTTGTGATGAAATGTTATAACTTCATTTATGTATAAACACGACAATCAACTCTATTCTGTGAGCGCGAGGGTCGGTTGTCGCTTGCGGGGGTCGCGGCGGCCGTTGCCATGGCGACCCGCTGCGTTGGAATGTCAAGCGATGCAGGAGACGAACCAGAGTTGCCCTCATCAGTTGTAATTTTCCACAAATATTATTTATAGACGTTACTTATTGTTGACATTGTCACAACAACTGAACGCTAAAAAATATTTAAGATACGATACGTGCGAAGTATTCGTTAAAATTTGTATTTAATTGTAATTTTGGACTTAAAATTTCACTCTAGACGTAAACATACAATGTATCAAAAGTTTTTCTTAAATATTAAATATTTTAACGAAGTGAATTTTTACAGCCACTTAAAGTTACAAGGATCGAGGTTTGAAATTGGGTTGAATTTAAAACGTTGACCATTTTAATTTGAACATAAAGCGTCCCATAATAGTTAAATTTGTTTCGTCTATTATAAAATAAATTAATTGTTTAATATCATATATTTCTATAAAATATATACAATTATGATTAAATAAATGCTTTTAGGTATTTAATACATACCTATATAATAGGTATATTGTTACAATATGAAGACGCCATCTTTTTTTTTGACATAATACTTGTGATACATTCTTCAAACATTGTTTAAATATAAGTTATGTAGTTACTTTAATAATTTGAAACGTTATAAAATAACGTTATAAAATAAAACGCTAGTTAAATTTTCCCGGTTAAACCTATGGTTTAATTTAACTGTTCATTCAGTATGAAAAAATCTTTGACGGCAATTTTTTTTACTTCGTAAAGGATGAATCGTTTTAAGATAATGAAAAATTAAAAACGGCTAACTATTAACATCTAAAATCAATTACCAATGAAATAATATAATTGCAGAATTCAATTGTATAGATAAGTATTTAATAAGAATTAATTTAAAACAACATTGATTTTCTTTAAACAGATTAAAAAGTACTTACACCTGTCACATCATAATGTTATTTTTGTTTCATTTAATTCTCTTTATTTTTATAAATGTATTAATAAATTAAAAAACAATAATTTATATGAACCATATACGTTTTATTTTATATTTTTATAATATAGCATCTATAATATATCTAAAAACATCAAAATTATTTATACCTACTACAATAAATATATCGGAAATAACAGCTTCTACTTTTGGAGGATAATATAAAAATATAAGCAGTTAAATATTATATTATATACATTACTTATACAGTATATAAGAAAAATAATACTCAGAAGATAAAGATCAACGGCCATTGATTAAAATGATGTTCTACCTTTATGTACGTCTTTGGACATATTTACTGGGACCTAAAATAAGAAATATAATTATTTGGTATTTAAATGACTTAAACTAAAATTCAAGAAGACCCAGGTCCTGAACTTCTCCAAAAACTCATAGTGAAGCTACAGATTTGCTATTTTGGTGTTTAAAACATTCCTGACTATTTACTATTAGTTCCAAGACTTGATGAAAGAGTCAAATGGAAGAACACATCTGTTAGACTTGGTGTAACTTTAATGGATCTCAATCCTGGTGATGTTTTGGACCTAAATGTGAAGAACCAGCTAATATGAAAACTAAGTTCTGGAACTCAATATTTTTTGAAGACTTGATCCTTGTATGGACCATTGATGTATTCTCTTATAGTTTCCTTCATTTAATTGATGATGGACGTCTCTTGCTGCGTGTGGTCTCCGTGAGAGTGCAATTTGTTTGTATCCTCTCACAGGCCTGACCTCTCACCCTCAAGCTACGCCGGCTCCGATTATATGCTAATACAGGAATAAGACTCCATTTACGTAAACGATCGACCGCTCGGACTTTTGTTAATGCTATAAAAATATATATCGCTTGGGTTACATCTGTGAGAAATGATTTGATTATCAAATTATTAAATACCTATCTTTTAGGTCGTTGACTTGTATCACTTTAGTTGTAAAGGGATGTTTGTTTTGTATCTAATGAAAAGACAGGTCATTCTCGTTTACGGAAACACAACAGATCAAAAGCGGACAGCTCGGGTGGGAGCCAGTAAAGGCGACTCAGACTCAGAGATCAGCACGCCCACGTCTTCATTAAAATCGGTCGCTTATCGTTCAAATCGATCTCGTTACAAACAATGAAACGCGTCCGAACAAAAACCGGGCGAGCGATCGACGAATACGAGGAAGGTACCGGTGAGCGGGCGAGCACATCCACACAAACAAACTAAAACCTCAATCAAAAATCTCGAGGCATTCGGTATCATAACCGAAGAGGTGCGTCGACCCCGGCGGCGTATGGGAACACCGGCGTGTGTGTTACAACATCGAGAACAGAAAAAAATATAACAAAACTATAATAATGTAACGCACTAAGTATCCGTCTTAAAAATACGCCTCGATCTCTGTTGCGCGCGTCGCAGCATTAACGCGTCGGTGGAAATGAACCCTCGCCGCGGCGGAGCAATGTGGACTCTGGGTGTGATGCGGGAAGGTCTAGATTAGCATCAGGGGCGGGTCTGATCGGAGGGCCGGAGGGTGTCGGGCGAGGGGGCAGCGCGGGGGGAGGGCGGCGGCGGCGGTGATGGATGGCCCAATCAGGCGGCGTGGCGGTGCCCGGTGCCGGCCGCGCTAATCGAGCAGTGCGGCCCGAGAGACGGGCGCACACACGCGTCCTCACAACAACACCGAACACACCACGACCACACGCCAGAAGACATGATCACACCTAGCAGCCTGGGACCTGCACAGAGAGACGGCGGAGATCGATGAGGAACAGACGAGAACGACCCTCGACCGAACATGAGGAATGCGATCGATACACACCAACTGTTGTAAACAAGCGGACGGGACTTGGGGAAAAAGGTTGGAGCGCTCGCCACCCCGCGGGGCTATTAACGGACACGTGACTCATTGTAGGAACTGTCAGCGGCAGGGCCCAGTCACGTGGGCCTGGTCCGCCGCAGACCTCGGCCCACGGCGAACTGTTTACTACACCAGCTGCTTATCCTATTCATCATGTACCAAAAACAATTTCACACAGCTATAAATGCCCACCATACATACTCATAAACAGAACTTCATTAATACAATCCTCTACAAAAGAAAACGTTCAATATTCAACAATTACGAGCGCTTAAAGACTTTGATAAAAAAAATATTAAGAACTCTATTCTCCGCTACGGAACTTTTAATGGAACCAGCAACATTATTTAGCAAAGAAAGCAATTTTCTCACGATCAATTCCGAGCTTAATTCGTTCGTTTCGCAAAACATGTACGATTCGGTATCATTAAACTTCAAAGTCACCTGTAAAAAGCGGATAGATCGGCCGGCTATTCATTACGGGCGACAGGCCGACGGGCCGAAAACGTTCCGTATAAATCAAGGGACATCGCATTTTATCAACAGACCTTTCTCCGACTAATCCGACCTGAATTCGAACTGATCTAATGAAACCGACTTCACTCGGACCTCGTACTCTCCTCCACATATAAAAACGATCCATAGCCATCGGCTCGAGATGCCCTACGATCATTTTAGCTTTTTTTTCCAGTCTCCGTTTTTTTTATTGTTATTTTTAATTCTGTCC